GCTTGTTCCACGTGTCAAGTGTTTATTGGCTGCTCATTTTGGTATAAACAGGAGTCCCCTAAGTCCTGTTGCGAGAATTCTCGAAAGGGGATTTGAAGTTGCCCTTCGAAGAAAACGTTGCCCTACCGTTTTTAGCAATTTCTTGCCGTCTGTTTTCTTTTTTGTCTAACGTTTTCCTTTGCTGTTCAGGCCTCAATGGATATGTGGCTGTGCATCAAGCGAGTCATTAATGCCGCCGAAAAGGCGAAGAAGGCGTACGAAGACGGCAGGGCGAAGGTTGCCGAAGCTGGCAAAGCCATCCAAGCCCAGGCGAACTTGGCGAAGGACATGCAGGCTGCCGAACGGCAAGTCAAAGTTTATCAAGCCAAGCTCGGTGAGATGTCGACAGCGTTGGAGTCGGGGCAGCTATCGGCAAGGGAGGCTCGAGAATCGAAAGAGGCGATCCAGGTGGCCTTTGAGGAGTCCGAGCGGGTCAGGGCTTCCAAGATCGAGGCTGCCGTCCAGGAGGCAATCGGGCGGTACCGTCGGTCAACTGAGTTCTCTACTTTGCTTGACTCGAAAGTAGGCCGGGAGATGGTGGACTTGGTCTACCGCTTCAAACGGTACAACCCCGGGAAGAAGCTCAACCTCAACTTCATTGCCGATCCTCCCCCCCTTCCTGAAGGCATAACCGAAGAAATGATTGAGGAGTACGAGGGGGAGGACGCCACAGAGGAGGTCCCAGCCGATCCCGGAGGGCGATCCTCCCCCCCTTCCTGAAGGCATAACCGAAGAAATGATTGAGGAGTACGAGGGGGAGGACACCACAGAGGAGGTCCCAGCCGATCCCGAAGGGGGTACTGCCGAAGGCGATGTGGATGCCGCCGAAGCCGATGAAGCCGCTGCCTGACAGAAAGTTTCGTACGCTCTGCAATGATACTCAAAGGTATAGTCCTATCTCGAACGGCAGAGCGACGATCTTCTCCAGAAGCTTCTTCTCCAGTCCCGCTTCTCTCTTATGTAATTTAACGCCGAGGGCACCTCTAATGTAATTTTGATGTATTCTTGATGCCGTGGGCATCTTCTTAATGTAACCTTGATGTACTCTTAATGCCGTGGGCATCTTCTTAATGTAACCTTGATGTACTCTAGATGCCGTGGACATCTTCTTAATCAAAAAGTTTCATCATTTTTTTTTATTTTTTTTTCGAATTTTGAGGTTCCAAGTAATTTCAAGTTGACTTGCAATCGGTAGAACACTTAGGAAAATCCCTTCAAAAATGCCGAGGGCTAGATAGAAGTTGGAGAACAATGGTCGTACTTGCCGAAGGCTAAGCGACGGCTAAGAATGCCGAAGGCTAATCAAAGCCCAAACTTGACTCCCAGAGCTAAAGTTGTCCTTTAGTCGGTAGGCTAGTGTCAAGTTGTGTAGTTTTAATGCGACCGAGGGTCTCTACCGTATCCTTTTTAAAAACGAAAAGAGCTAAAAAGGGTACAACAAAGGTTCCGAATATATTGGCCGAATGCCCTTTTCATTGATAAACTGCCGAAGGCAAAGATACAATATGGAGTGCGTTTTACAATTCAAAAACCCGCCGTAGGCTAGGGAACGCTATACTGCCGAAGGCCATAAATACAGAGAAGCCGAGGGCTTTTGAGGCTCTATTGCAATCCTACCGTAAGCTAGGTGACTTCATTTAAAATAATATTTCAAATGTTCCAAATTCCAAGGGTGACCGAGGGTCTTTCCGTTGGAGTCCCTGAGTCGATAAGTCCCCGATCGCTGGATACCGATGATTTCGTATGGTCCCTCCCAGGATGGTCCGAGGGTTCCTTCCGTAGGATTCTTGGTTGCCATCGAGACTTTTCGCATGACCCAGTCTCCGACTCTGAAAGAGTGGGATCTGACCCTGGAGTCATAGTACTGAGAGACGCGTTGTTTGTAAGCCTCGTTCTGAAGGTGGGCTTGTGCTCGGCGTTCTTCGAGTAGGTCGAGGCTTAAGGCGAGCGCCTCCTCATTCGCCTCTGGTGTGAATGCTTCCGTTCGGTAGGAAGGCTCTCCGATTTCCACTAGGACTACCGCTTCTGAGCCGAAGGCCATGGAGAACGGTGTTTCACCAGTTGCCGTTCGGTAGGATGTCCGGATGGCCCATAGCGCCTCTGGGAGTTTTTCCGGCCAGGCTCCTTTGACTTTATCGAGTTGCCGTTTCAATAGCTTCTTGACAATTTTATTCATTGCCTCGACCTGGCCGTTCGATTGGGGGTGAGCTGGCGAGGCAAAGAACAGGTTGATCTTGAGTCGGACGCAGAACTCCCTAAAGACTTCTGAATCGAACTGCCTGCCGTTGTCCGTAACGATGGCGTAGGGGATTCCGAATCGGCAACAAATGTTCGTCCAGACGAAATCCTCGATTCTGGCTGCCGTTATCGTTGCTAAGGCTTTGGCTTCTACCCATTTGGTGAAGTAGTCCACGGCAACGACAACATATTTGACCTGACCTTTGCCTTCCGGCATCGGGCCAATTAAATCTAACCCCCATTGGGCGAATGGCCATGGACTTACGATCGGTGAAAGTGGTTCGGCAGGGATATGAGGGACACTACCGAACCGTTGGCATTTGTCACACTTCTTGACTAATATGCTCGCATCTTGGTGCAGAGTCGGCCAGAAATATCCCTGTCGGAAGACCTTATGTGCGAGTGATCGGGATCCCGAATGATCACCGCAGACTCCGCTGTGGACCTCCCGAAGGATGTAGTCCCCCTGTTCCTTGGTTAGACACTTTAGATACGGCGTCGTATAGCCTCGTTTGTACAGAATATCGTTGATGACCGTGTATCTTGCCGATCGGTAACGGAGTTTCCTAGCCTAAGACTTATCGGTAGGAAGGGTTTCGTCTGCCAGGAATGCATAAATTGGAGACATCCATGTATCCTCGTACCGAACGGTACACACCTCAACAGCTGTCGTGCTTGGTTGGGATAATATCTCCACCGGTACCTTCCTTCCGATCTTATCATTTATTGCCGAAGCCAGACGCGATAGCGCATCGGCGTGGCTGTTTTCTGACCTGGGGATCTGCCGAATTTCGTAGGCCTGAAATTTTTTCAGTAGTTGGTGAGCTGCCGATAGGTAAGCTGGCATAAATGCACCCTTTGGTCCCGCGAAGTCTGCCGTTATCTGGTTCACTATGAGCTGGGAGTCACGGTGAATGCTGATCTGTTTCGCGCTCATACTTTTGGCCAGCCGAAGGCCGGCCAAGAGAGCCTCGTATTCCGCCTCGTTATTGGATGTCCGGAAGTTGAATCGGAGGGCATACTCAATTTTGCCACCGTCCGGAGTGGTTAATACCAAGCTGGCACTGCAGCCTTGCTGGTTTGCCGAGCCGTCTACGTGCAGAATCCAGAGAGGAACGGAAGTGTCGAAGTGCCCGGCTTCCGTTCTCTCTGGCGCAGTGGGGATAGCGCTCGGAAAGGGCGATTCCGATAGCGCGGGTGTGAGCTCGGAAATGAAGTCGGTGACGGCCTGACCTTTTTCTGCAGGCCTTGGTTTGAACTGTATGTCAAACTCCCCCAACTCGATTGCCCATTTGACCAATCGGCCCAACGTTTCTGGCTTTTGGAGTACCTGTCGAAGGGGCTGGTTTGTTAGAACAGTGATCTCGTGCGCCTGGAAGTATGGGCGAAGCCTTCGCGCCGAGACGACCAGGGCCAGTGCCAACTGCTCTAAGGGTGGGTACCGAAGCTCCGCACTTTGGAGCGCCTTGCTGACATAGAAAATCGGTAGCTCCGCCCTCTCCAGCTTCCGTATCAGTACTGAGCTAACGGCAGTGTTTGATACCGAAAGGTATAGGAGTAGCACTTCTCCTGGGAGCGGTTTTGATAACAGCGGTGCATGGCTCATGTTGTTCTTCAAGTTTTGAAATGTCTGGTCGCATTCGGGAGTCCACGCGATGTGATGTTTACCCCCTTTCAAAGCTTTGAAGAACGGCACGCACTTGTCGGTGGCCTTGGAGATGAAGCGTATTAGGGCGGCGCTATGTCCGGTAAGGCTTTGAATGTCCTTCTGTGTCTTCGGCGTTTCCATGTCTATTATGGCTTTGATTTTCTCAGGATTAGCCTCGATTCCCCTTTGGCTGATCATGAATCCGAGAAATTTGCCGGAAAATACACCGAAAGCGCACTTTGTTGGGTTCAGCCTCATTCGGTAGTCCTTCAGTATACCGAACATGAGGGCCAAGTTTTCCAGGTGCCCCCTTGCCGTTCGGCTTTTTGCCAACATGTCATCAGCATATACCTCCATGATGCCGTCGATGTGCTTGGCAAAAATCCGATTGACGAGCCGTTGGTAAGTTGCTCCCGCGTTTTTCAAGCCGAAAGGCATGACGTTGTAACAGTACAAACCGCGGTCGGTGATGAATGCCGTATGCTCTAGATCGGCAGGGTCCATAAAGATCTGGTTGTATCCCGAGTAGGCGTCCATGAAGGTCAGCAGCTCGTGTCCAGCGGTAGCGTCGACGAGCTGGTCGATTCTTGGCAAGGGGAAACTGTTCTTCGGACAAGCCTTGTTCAGGTCGGTATAATCCTGACACATCCGCCACCCTCCTTTGGCCTTCCGAACCATGACGGAGTTGGCAAGCCAAACAGGGTACGTAGCTTCCCTGATAAAGCCGATGGCTTTGAGCTTGTCAACCTCGGCACGCATCGCCTCGTACCGTTCGGCATCATATGACCGACGCTTCTGTCTGACCGGTTTGTGGGCAGTGGAGATGCTGAGCTTGTGGTTGATGACATCAGGTGATATGCCGGGCATATCGTCGTAAGACCAGGCGAAGACCTCTGCCTGTTGCCGTAAGAAGTTGATGAACTGGCTTCGGAGTTCGGGATCTAGGCTGGTGCCGATTTTTACCCATCGATCGGGAAAATCCTCGTCCAGGACCACGGTTTCGAGCTCTTCAGCAGGCTGTGCTACCGGTGCTGGCGTTTCCTCCCTAGGGTCATCAATGGGCTCGCTACCGTTCGGTAGTTCCTGCACGGTCGTGGCTTCCATTGACGGTTTACAAGCTACCGATTTAAGGGCCGTGGCATAGCACGTCCGTGCGCTGAGCTGGTCACCCCGGATGACCCCAGTACCGTTGCGCGTAGGGAATTTCATCAGCAACATGTGGGGGGATAAGTGGGCTTTGATCCTGGTGAGTGCCGTGCGCCCTATGATGACGTTATATGCCGTTGGGGAGTCGACAATGAGGAACTGGTCGTAGGTCATTGTTTTCCTCGGGGCGAAACCGAAGGCGATGGGCAGGCTGATACTACCGACCGGTTGGACTAGATCCCCAGAAAAACTGAGGAGGGGCGTAATTTGCCGATTAACCATGCTGTCGGCAATTCCCAGGCCTTTGAATGCATCGGCAAAAATTGCGTTCACCGAACTCCCGGTGTCGATTAGCACCCGACCTACATCATAGCCGGCGATTTCTGCCCGAATGATCATTAGGTCATCGTGGGGATAAATGATCCCCTCCTCATTTTCTTAGCTGAATGTGATGGGCTCCCACCCCACCTTCAGGACCTTACAGTACCGATCGTCCTCTATATCGAAGACCTGGGGGTAGTGAGCGGCACGTACATACTGTTTCACCGAACGGTTGGATGAGCCCGCCAGAGTGGGGCCTCCGCTAATGGTGCTGATCATGTTGATCTGCCGATTCGCGTTCGGTGCCGGGGCCTGTGGTGGCCTGGCGATGTAATGATCTAGCTTTCCTTCCCGAATCAGGCGCTCAACGATCTTCCTCAGACTGATGCAGTCTTCGGTGTTGTGGCTGTTCTGCTGGTGGTATCGGCAGAATTTGCCAGTGTCCCGATTGTCCTGTCGATTGGGCTTTCGGGTCGTCGGCTTTGGGATTTGGTCATGCTCGTGCATAAGAACTATCTCGTATGTTGTT